GGGGGGGGAGTGGGTGGGTGGGTTAATCAGTAATGGAAAGAATATACCAAGGTAGTTGGAATTGTTGAAGGACATGATACAATATTTTTTTAAAGGAATAATCATCAAAAGTGAAAATCCTTTAAAAAAAAAGTCCAACTGCACGCTATGACGACGTGTATTTAAATGGTAAATAGATATTGGTGAAATAATGTTTGTTGGAGGGGTAAAAATAGCGAACAAAGAAGAAATTAAGTACATTAAAAGGATGAGTACAATTGTAATAAACAGAAAAACTTTGAAGTTTTTTTTATTATATCAATGAATATGTCATGTAAGAGTAGCATCCAAACATGGAGTGCACACTAATCGAATAAAGGAATTACAAAGACACTTACATAATGCAAAAGGCAACATGTCGTGAAAGTTACTTTTCCCTCTTCCCTTCTGTACTTTTTCTTCCATCACATGAAGGACAAAATGAAGAAAAAACAACCATAAAGAACTCTTTCCTATAGATTCTTTAATCAATACAATTCTAGAAGCAATAATCAGAATATCATAGATCTGCCTTTAACGTGAAAAGGGCGGTTAGTATATGCCATTAAGCATCATCCCTATTTCCTGTTAAGCTTTTTCAATTTGAAACACATATCAAATATCTTTTGTTATTTGACTTTGGGTTTTTATATCTTCCATTATTAGTATTCTGGATTGAATAAGGATAGTTTTCTTTGAGTAGAGGGCAAACCTTTGGGCGGATCTGATGACAAGGAAATCGCACGTTGCCTTTTGAGCGGTCCAACTGCGTTCTTTCGCAGAGAAGGTTCTTTCTTCCCCTCCAAATGACTTCCGGGTGAACTTTTTAGTCGTAAAACCAACCCATTTTCTGGAGTTTTTGGATTCAAGTTCAGTGCATGATTTTCCTTCTTTCCTTTTCGAGACTTTCGATGTGCTTCCAGGAAGTTTTCCGCCACCGCTATCGCGTGGGGGAGGAAATCCAAGTTCGCCATCACCCGACCCATATCCGCCTCCTTCGCCGTCCATCGCTCCTTTCCCGTTTCCGCATCATAGCGAGGAAAGACGTCCAGAAAGCCAAATAACTCATAAAGCCTTCGTGAGGCCGGTGAGGAGGCAAATTCCACCTTCGAACTATCCTCCACGAGATGCTTTTCAATCGCCATGTTTAAATACACTCGTGTACGTCCTCGGAGGGCCCATTTGAGCAAATCCACCGCCATCAACAGCTTGGCCAGGCCTCGGCGTTGAAATTCGACGTGGGTGGCGCTCAATTCGATGTGCACGATATCGGAAACGTCCGAGATGGCCAAACACTGGAGTTGAAAAGGCGTCAGGCGGTGGAGCTGGACGATGCCGCGATTAATCGAGCTTTTGAGCTGCGTAATCGTCGATCGCAGGTTCCCATACCCATCCATCCCGTTCGAAATCACCATCGAGACGATCCGCGTGGGGGTGTCGGTGAAGGCCGTCAATGGGGGGCGCGTTCGCAGGAGGGTGGCCTGGACGTACGGATGTAGGGCGTTTCGAACCTCTTTTAGACAATAAACGGGGTAGCTTTCGGAAAACGTGGCCTGTCGGATCGCCCCCGCGCAGCATTCTAAACTTTGTTGGTATTCCCCCTCGCTTAGACGCATCGCCGGGAGGTCGAGAAGGTCGTAGCCGAGGTCCTGCGTGAGGTCGTAGAGGGCTATGAGGAGGCATTGCAGCCTTCGCGTGAGCGCAGGCGAGCCCGGGATGCGATCGGGCACCTCTCGAAGTTTGAGCGAAACCTGCCGAGGGGGAGGCTGCCGACGAAACGCCGGGGACGAAAACGAAAATACCAAGGACGAACTCCCCTCTGACTCTTCCCCAACCTTCGAGGCGGACGGATTTGTGCTCGTCGCATCGGAATTTTCACTTCCCCTCGCGCGGCAATAGGGGCAGATAAAACGGCGCTGACGTTGAAGAAGGCGAAACTCCGCGTGGTCGACGTCCACGCAGGCGGCGTGGCACCAATTTCGACAACTTCGACACTCCAAAAGAAGATCGCTCGCGGAGACTAAAAAGGCATCGCACACGCAGTGCAAAACTCCCCCCAGGACGACATGGGGCGGTCTGGGAGGAGTTCCCTCAAGCATCGCGGCGTTGGGGGGCTCCAAGGCCTTCTCCGAGGTTGAATTCCCCACGTCGCTTTCCTTTATATCACAAGAGTCCCCAGCCGCGGCGGCGGCGGCGCGTTTGAGAAAGGACCGCGTGATCATGCGGTGATTCGGAACCTCGGCTAAAACGGGTGGGGAATTGGATGAGGTAAGCCGTGGCGATTGCACAAGAGTTGTGATGTTGTTATGATTCGTATTGAGGTCCATAGGATTCGCTCTATTGGAAGCAATTGTGGGTGAGATGGTGTTTAATACGGAACCTCGCCCAGCGCCTCTCCGCCCACCAACCCCACGAGTTCCCCCACGACCTCGAGCCATTATATTGGACATCAAAAAAAAAAGGGAAGGTTAACACGAATTAAAATTTCTTTTTTTTATACCTTCTCAATAAACTATTATTATTTGTAAGTGCTGTTATAGCTGTTATTTGCCACAAACCCCAGAAGTGGATGTAGGTGATCAAATAAGCCAACAGAGGCGATTCCTCAAAAGGGGAAACCAAACTAGATTGGAAGATAACAAGGGAAATAAGAGGGATTGATGATTTCTAATAATTTATCCTACTCCTAGACCTGAAATGACATATTGATCCAATCGAAATATTTGTATTCCCGCTAAGCATATAAAAAAAGAAGAAAATCACAGCTTTGTTGTTTTTCATACTGTAATCTCTCCGCATCCATTTCGTTGTGGGTATTCGTAGATTTATCCCACATCTACCACTCACATAGTGATAATTTTATGACCTTTTTCATCGACTTTATTATCACTATGACATTCCTATTGAGGTCCAGAAGAATACATGGCTTCTTTTGTTACATAGAAAAAAAATGTAACACAGTAACGGGATAGAGAGAGAGAAACGGAGAGATAAATTTTCACTTTTTTAAAGTGAAAAACTAATTGAATTCAATAAGAGAGATACCCAGTTCTACGCTTTTTCCCCTCGTGCCTTTTAATATCTACTTGAGCCACTTATCTATAATAAAATATATAGACATTATTCTCCCTAAATTATTAAAAGCAAACAAAATAAAACTAATAAACGTACAGATGTTTAGGCATCATATATGTACTCCAAGTCCACATCGTAGATATACAAAGTTTTCGTATACTAACTGTTTCTGTCGTAATTACTCTAGTTCTACCTTTTCCCCATAAATATAGAGATATATTTAAGCATGTTATGAAATTATATATTGATATTTTTTCACATCTCCATTGATAAACGAAAGAGCCTTCAGCTATATATGAACAATAGAAGGGATCAATATAGGTGAAAATCAACCTTTATTCTTTTATTGTTATTTTTAAATGTCTAAACTGAAATTCTTGGAAGATTTTGGATAGTTTAAGCTTAGTGATAACTCATTTTCTGTAATATTCTTAATGTAATGATCCTCTTCATCCTTCAAACAGCAAGGATTATATTTGGAAGAGGGTTAAAAAATAAAAGCGGTGAAAATACAGAAAATGCTGAATTAGAATAATGTAAACTAAGGGACAAGTTTTCTCATCATAAAAAGTAAGAGAAAAAAGCCAAAGAGGACCCGCCCAGTCTTCTGGGATTCTTTTCGATGACATATATAGTTAAATAACAACGATCCTGTATCACTTCCTAAAGATATATAAATACAAATAGATATATATACGCATATAAAATCCATATATTTCATATAATTGAGCTCATTTTTATTCATTTCTTGATTCTGAATCCATTGGGGATCCCCCCTTTCCTCCCCTTCTATTTCCCATTTTCCAGTTTGTTTGTTCTCTCTCTCTCTCTCTCTCATTCTCTCTCTTTTTTTTTTTCATATATCTATTTTTTAAATTTATTATTATTCATTTATGTTGTTAAACCGGCCTACCGCGGCCGGCAGCGAAGGATGGGAGGCCGTCCTCCGGCCCGAGAGGCCGTACAATTCCGAGCATGTTAGTCTGACCCCGAATCTCCTTCCAGTGGCGGATCCCCTTAAAATCCATCGGGCGGAGAGGGGCGGGGGTGAGAGGGGCCCAACTCGGCGTCGCCGAGGGTGAGGGCGCCGCGGGCCGTAGCCCCGGCGAAAGTCCCCCGCCGGAGGAGACGCCAAGCAGCCGCCGCGCCGTGGCCTTTTCGGCCGTGAGCCGCAGTTGAAGGCCGTAGGCCTGGCAGAGCTGCCGGAGCAGCTTCAACTCCCCCCGTGTCAGCTGCGCGCGGGGGAAGGCGAAGCCCTCGTGGACGCTGCTCACGCGGATCTCCCGGACGAGCTGTGGGAGCCCCGGGGCGGTCTTTCCCCACGGCCCTCCCCCATTTCCCATCCCCGCACCATTTCCCCCGTTCACGCCATCCTCGGCGAGGCGCCAGCGTTTTTTGAACTCCACCTTCAGCGGGCGCGCCCCGAGAACGAAGCGCTCCAACCGCAGCTTCGACTCCTCGGCGGCCTCGCAGTTGGGGTATTTCGCGAACAGGACGTTTTTGAAGACCCCGCGCTCACTCCGCAGGAGTCGGACGTAGGAAACGGGCTGGGGGAGCTGCCAGAGCTCCTCGAGAAGCTGCTCCGTCTTCCCCAGGCTGGGCAGGCACTTCAGAACGAGTGAGGCATTGAGGGCGGCGCGGCTTCGGGGCTGCACCGTCGCCGTCGCCCGCGGCCAGCGCC